GTATTTAAATAAGTTGAACTTTTAATTTATATTTTAAATGCATATTTCTAGTTTTAAGAGCATATATTCAAGTTTTTTAGTGCATATTTTGTCCGTTTTTAGTGCATATAATCCGCTGTCTAGTCATGAGCATGAGTAACAGTTGCAAACTCACAGCAGTTGTAAAAATACAATAGTAATCACCAAAAAAATATCATTTCATATACGACGGAGTCTTCGATAAACAAGTCTTAAGCTAAATCATTAAGACTTTTAAAAAATAATTAACTATTATTATTTGGTGATAAATTCATATTATTCAGTGTTAAACTATATGTATTATATATATAATATACGCATATAAACACTGTATATATACAAACTATCAGTGTTATACTATGGGTTATTAAAGTTAATTTCTTATTCCATGTGTAAGTAACAAAATCTAAAACAAATTAGGATTATAATAAATTGTTTCTCTTCTGATCAAATATTAATAAAGTTGTGCAATTTCATACAAACCTGATAGAATACACCAACTACGGCAATGCGTCCCTTTGGATCTGCGTGCACAAAATGTAACTGCAAAATAAAAATATCATTTAAAGCGAGTAACTTTGCATGCAACCAGAGTGAGGGGTGTGTGTGTTTTTTTCCGCTGTGGCTGGCCTTCTGCACTAACCAAACTATGCTACCCAGTAAAAACATTAATTATACAGTGAAACCTCTTGCGATAAATTAACATTTGCGATTTGAATTTTGTAAAAATAAGGCGATAAATTAACATTTATATATGAAAGAACTATTTTAAATAAATAAATAATTATGTTTTTAGTTTAAGTTCGTCATTAATTTGATATCATAAAAATTAGTTAGCTTTAAAAGATGAGAAGGAGCTTGTTCGTTTGAGATGCTTAGTTGTTTTTTTTAAACTTTTTTTTTCTAATTTAACTTTCAACTCTTAAATAAATCATAATGATCTAAAAATAAATCATTGATAGCATTGGCTTTAGTCATCACCTCCTACATCAAGAAGCCTCCACACGGTCTTTTATAAGTAGTCCGCGCAGACTGTTTAAAAACTCAACCAGTTGTGCGCATGAAACCAAAACCTTTTATAAAATTAATTGAGAGAAATTTATCTTATATATTTGAGAATTGAATCTGTAGTGGTTGACAAGTGAATAAGACAAACCAATAATATTCATAAATAAAATAAATTGTTAGTCATATATTTGCTACCACTTTCTTATTTTAACTATATTCTGTATTAAATGACTATCTCCGGTAAATGGATATCCCTCACAGTGGTCTGATCGGACTACCTATAAAAAACCGTGTGGAGGCTTTCAGTTATAGGAGGCGTTGCTTTAGTGCACTCCGACTGCAACATGAGGTTGTCGATCTCTCAGCGATCGTCAAAAAAAGCTCTCTAAATAAGAGCCTCACTCAAATATTTTGAATACATTTTAATTTACTTGTTTGCATTGTTATCATTTTTGTGTCTTAATATATTTTCGTGTTTCATTATTTAATCTTCTCCGCATTTGGTTCCAGAGGTTCGCCCGGTTGCTGGGAGAGGTTCTGATAACCTCCTAAAGGTTTTCTTCAACACTAAGTAGAGAAGGAAAAATTTCCGAGTCTTCCAAAAGTGGCCGTAAATAGAGGAGGTCGCTACACGCAGATGGTCTTTCCTTTAAGTTTCACTGTATTTTAAGAAATAAAACATTGGAGAACTTGAGTATTGAATGAAATGGAATAAATCAAAATCGTCATAATGAATAGACATTGAAATGATTTATAGTTACCAGCAAGTTTTTTGCGTTATAACAGATTTACGTTCAAAATGTTGATTTAGCAATAAGTACATACAGGTGTGAAAATTCAAATTGTTTGAAATTAGACAATTTCTGATTGGTTTCAATTGTAAATTATAATGATTTACTATTTCGAGCAATGGAAAAGAATTTGTGATTATTAAATTATTATTATTATTTGTTAAAATAATCTGTATTTTAAAAAATTGTGATGCTGTTAAAGTACGAAAGTACCGTTACTTGTTTCAATACCACTTTTTATTCTTTTAAAGCCGGTGAGAATCCTGGATTAAATGTATATTTTAGAAATCTACACATGCATTGGCTCATAATGTATAATTTTCAAATATACCCGTGCTTTTATACCTGCTAATTGTTTTTTAGTAAATTTTTAAATCTTCAAATAAACAATATTAGGACTCCCAAAAGTCCCCCGCCCATTCTTAAAATGGAAGCAAAACTTATACTATAAAATGTATTTATTGTTCCTTTTTAAAAATTAATCATTGAATTTTCAAGATCCCTATAAAGATTTGGAAACTTTTTTCATATGTAGAAGTGTGTGATTCATGCTTAATCAAATTATATAAATTTTATTTTATTTTATAACCGTCGTTGAACAGCCGTCCCAATTTTATGGGTTTACGACTCCACAGCCTTGTAATTTTGAACCCAATCCAGAAGACAAGAGAACTCCTGGATTGAGTATTGGGAGAAATTTGCCTTCGTGGAGAACTTTTTGATGGAGCTAACCCACATTTGCGTTACATGGAGAGGAAGACCACGAAGACCTCCAACGGTTCACCTGACTGCGAGAGGACTCTAACCAATGATCCGTCTACCACTGAGGATGTTTCACGTCAGCTCTGTGGTCGGTGCAAGCCGGATGCGGAATTCGTATCGACCAGCCACCGCCGGGATCGAACCCTGGTTCACCTCATTGGAAGGCAAACGCTCTATCCCCTGAGCCATTACGGCTTAAATTATATAAATTGAAGTGGTTGTGTTCTTAGGAAAACTTTAGATTACTTTGATTGCTCATTGGCTGCGTGATTGTGTTTGTTGCCATTCTTGACAAATAAGATTTCTACTAGATAGAAAAGATCAGAACTTGTACCTCCAGTGCGTAATGTTTTTTATCGACTGTGTGTTCTGATCCTGTGTAATAGTAGCCTCCCCAGTGAAAATGAAACTGGGCAAGTTGGAACTTTTCTCCATTCACGTGAACAGATCTTAGAACATCATCCTTTGGAGTTACTTTAACTAGAAATAAAGATTTATTTGACATTATTTATTTGCTTTGTATCTAAAACTGTTACAATTTGAAGCATATGTTAATTCATAAAATAGCTATGTATATTTTATTACTAATTTAGCAAGTGTACAAGTGTACAGTCCGCAAAAAAAAGCGAATCACCATGAATAACTTTCGTTCTAATGATCGGATTTTCACGAACCTTAATGTCAACCTTAATGTCAATCTTAATGGTTCCTGGGGATGACCTCAAATATGTTAATTAATTAGTGCAAACTATTAATTAAGTTACGAAATCAGACACAAAAACCTACTTTCTCTGAATAAACATATATTTTTTTCTACATATATGGATTCTTAACCTTCAAAATATAGGGGGTAGCCGCAATCTGGGAAATATGGTCCCCATAGTTTGGACAGGAGAGCGATTCAAAGCTCGTACCCCTTAATGTTAATTTTACTTTTTACGTTTTTAGTCATATTTTTAAAACTAATAAAGCAATTCAAAGAAAATTGCACCCACTCATAAAACTCATTTGCCTAAAGATAATTTCATGAAAAAATTAATTTTTAATAAATATTAATCATTTTTTATTATTTAATTATATTGAGGATGAAAAAATTTTGAATTATAAGGTATGAGTTTTTTATACCACATTAATCTACATATTTTTCAATTGAAAAATCTAAAGTTTCAACTGTTTTTATTTATTAGAAGCTGAGAAAAATTAATATTAATTATTTTTAAAAAAATAATTAGGCGGCAACAAAAAAATTATTAAATGGGGCGATTAATATTAAAATGTGATAAACTTGCGAGGAACTTGACTTCGCGTAAAATTTCATTCATATTTTTTTTGCTAATAATCTTTTGTTTATCCTTTTATTTTTATTTCTTTCAAGCTATAAAATAAGATGTTTCTTTTTTAGTCGTTTATTAATTTATCTGAAATTTAGTAAAGAAATTTGAATAAAAAACACTTTATTCAACGAATATCTGGTTTTATAAAAGTGTGCTTCTGATAGAATATGATTATACACCAGATTGTGCTTATTTAATGTGATTATTTTTTATTTTTTTATTTTGTTTTTCAATAACTGATACAATTTCAATAATATACATACGTATGCATAGATTTGGAATAATATATTTATCAATTTCTTGAATATATATTTTATAAATATATATTTTATAAATATTATTAAAAATACGTATTCAGCATTTTTAATGATCTTAAAACTTCTTTACATCTTATATATATATTATTAATCTTAAAATAAATTTCTAAATTATCTGTCTGCGCTTGTTTCGCGGAATTATTTTTCTAACTTTTCAATTAAATTTTAACGCAAAAACTTATTTTTTATTCTACCATATATATTATTTTCCCATAATATACGTATCAATCGTTTTAGTACTTTAATTTATGTTTTCCTTTAAAATAAAATTACTTTTTAAATTATTGCTGAGTTCTTATTGAAAGAAAACTTAGATTTATAGCCAGCTATCTGAGAATTAAGTCTTGTTAAGAAATTAAAAATATTCTACTGATCACACACAATATCATTCGATGCAGAACAGCCGACTATTTACTAAGAATACTATTGTTTACGAAAAATGAAGATAAATTATTAATTTTCTTTTTTTTATTGTTTCTTATTTATTCGAGTAATGAAAAGTAAATGCGTATACGTGCACAGCGAAAAACTACAACAGATTGTTTTGTTTTTTAAATGAACAAAAAACTATGGACATACAATTTTATTTCGACATTCAAAGTTATTCTTGTGCTCTAACTTAAAGAAAGTTACCCTTTTCCTTTAAAAAGTTGAAAATATCTGCTTAAAAAGTTGTTCACATTATTTCGCAACTTTTGCACAGTTCAAAAAAATATTGCTATATCAGGAAAATGATCAATATGCCTTGTTTTGTTAAAGCAACTACTAAAATAAAAATTGTAAAACGATTCGAAAAACGTGCTATTTTTAGAATCATCATCTCAAAAATTGTTCTTTTTCTAACATTAGGATTTTTTCTACTTAAATAACCTGTAATAATAGTTTTAATGCACGTTTTGAAGAAATAATGAATACAAATTTGAATAGAATATTTCGTAATAAGGAAACAAGCATATTCATTGATAATTGTTTCATTGCACCGAAGTAGTTAATTCTTTTCGAAACAATCGGTCATGCAACTATTTAACTTTGACTCTTTGAACTAGGGGTCATTTCAGCATGTCATTCGACTTTAAAATTTCAAATATAAAATTCAAAAATTACAAGAATGCGTAAGCTGGCTTTAATTAATCATAAAAACGGACAAAATCGTCGGCAAAAGAAGTTATCTCATAAAAAGAATGTCAGAGTTAAAAACTGTAATAAGTGCTACTATTGTTTAATTTGGGGTATTATTAACCTAAATTTTCCTTTTTTTTATTTTTTTAAATTATTTTTTTAATAAACTAGCGAAATGAGTATGTAAATAATATCCATTCGTTTTACTAGAAACCAAGTTTACTTAGCATCATTCGCAAATCATATGAAGTGCAAATTCTTGAGCTCAGGTGTAGGGTAGGATATTTCATGCATGATCAGTAGCTTCAAGAGTGAACTCTTATATTAGAAGGCAGCTAACTTCTTTAAAAATTCTAATTCGGAAAAATACTTGTTATTTTACAAATGTTATAAGGCATGTGTATTTTTTGAATGGTTATTTATACAATTTTCACAAGTGTGAATGGCCATTAGTTTTCCCTTGATGAAGCAAAAACGAAGTCAAAAACTAAAGCAGAATGAATTTTTATCTTGTAACTTTTTTTTTGAATTCTCTAACCTTGATATTTAAACTCAATGATCCGCTTTAATATGTTTTTGCTTGAGTCAAAATAGTGGCATTTTTTATATTTTTTACGATTAACATACATCAACATAGTTCAAGAAATTCATATTTTTAAAAATTTGAATTCATTTTTTCAAAGAGCGAATCTTTAACAATACTTCGGCGAATTATAAAAAAATAATTTAGCACAATTTCTGAGTTAGTTTATCCTCTAAATACTCCCCCCCCCCCTCAATTTAAAATTTGTTAGTTTTTGTAAAAAGAAACTGTTACAAAGCAACAAAAATAAAAGAACTGATAGGAAAGAATACATAAAAGTTTGCTACACTACACTAAATAAATTATTTATATTAAATAATCAAAATATAAATTTACAAAATATTTATTTGTTTTATATAATTTTTGCATTTAAAAATGAGAAGTTTTATGGCTTTCAGCTATGTTATGCTTTACAATATTTGCAATGTTCGAAATGCTTAAAAGATATCCACTTAAATCCTATAGGAAGGAATTTAAACATTTTGATTCTATTTACAGTTATCTATTAAGTCACAGATTATTTAACCAAAAAATTTTACTGACTTATTCATCAAAAAGTTAAATTATTAATTTAACTCAGTAAAACTTAAAAGAGTAATCTACCACATATGCATTAAATTCCAGATAATTTCTTTTATTAAACGTTTTTACCTTATATGAAGCGTTGGGTTGAATAGTTCCTACCAACAGCATTAATTTTTAAATATTGTTGCTAAGCTATTTTTTCATCTATAATTTCTGCGACCATCTTCTAATAATTTCAGAAAATGGAAAGGATATGTTTGAAAGGATATGTTTGCATAAATGCTGGAAATAGTTAAGGGTAGAGGGGTCTCATTATTTTCTCTAATTCAGCAATTAAAACTAGTAAAATAATTCAAAATTAGCAAATCTCTAAATAATCTACAACTGAAAAATGCAACGATGAACTCTTAAGTAAAATTGATTCCAACTTCTGACGAATTTGAATTTTTTCAAAGATTTGAAACTCTTTTCCTTATTTTTTCTTTTTTTTTTTCATTTGACTTATCATTTAAAAAATCAGGAATTTAGTCCTTAATAAATTAAGAACACTGCGGTATCAGTATCGATCGTAATTATAAATTTATCATTAAATTTAAAATTAAATTTTGAAACCCAACATTTTGTGACCACAAATTTACGAGTTCTTGAAATTAAATATTGAATGAAATATTGAAATAAGAATGAAATGACCTTTAACACAGTAAAATAAAAATACAAGTAGAATTTACTCTTATGCTATAATATA